ATTATTTTACCGCCCTCTAAAAACAGATTTACAGTGAACCAAATACATTTACATACTGTAAGAAACTTGGTAGTATGCCATTGGTTAGTGCATTTAATTTGTTTGATGCAATCATTGTGCCAACTATTTCTTATGGTAGCGATATGGGGGTACGTAAATTCGGAAATCGAGAGGGTACAGATAATATTTTGCAGATATCTACCCGGTACTTAGTATTAATAGTTGTACAAACAATGCAGCGATGTTAGACGATTGTGGAAGGCTGCCATTGTGCTGTGGTTATTTCAAGCGTTGTATCTCATATTGGTTAAAATTACTGAAACCCCAAAACATGTTATATCATGCTTAAACGATTAGACAAGACCGGCAGACTTGCTTGGGAAACCCACATAAAAATCTCCTGTTCAAATATGGTTTCGGCAAATTTCTTAGATATTTTACTCAAAGAATAAAGAAATAGTGGCATGCCTCAATTTCACAATCATCCAGGCTGTGTACTTTTGGAAAAATCAAAGTAGTATTATAACCTGGGAGATTCATTGGCAAGCAATTATAGACAAAAATATATACTGACGAGTTTTCGCTGTTTTGGCCATAAACGTAATGTTGAATTAGGCAGACACGCAAAAATACAGTTAGATCAATAATTTTTTTAGTTTTTGCAGTGAAACGTTTGAATTTAGCATGAAAATGAAATTCACTTTGTTTTTATATGTCCATTTTATAAAGATCTAAGGGCTGATCTTTAGTCAATAGCCCTACGCAATTATGCAAATACTGACAGTCTGGGCTTACTTCGTCGCTACACAAACTGCCACACCATATATCAAATAGCTCTATATCTTTTAAAAGTTTTCAAGCGACGAGACGAATATGAATTCAGCTTAACTTCGTACCAATGTTTACATAGATGTTGTATTGTGTTTAAAACGTGCTATGCACTTTTCTACCCATTACATTTTGTACGATAGGCTGAGGCCCTGTACAGAAATAAAATTACATAATACAAAATTGACTAATACATGTACTAAAATGAATAATTGTAGACAGATTACGACATGAAATCGTGTCACTTTTATGTGCGCTAACATCTGCGAAGAGCGAAAAAACTCGTAAGTAGCCTTCTACCTTAAAATACTTAAACAATAATGCTAAGATACGTACAGTCTTGTCTTTTTTGTGTACAACATTTTGCCGTAGTGGATCAATGGTGTGGATGTGTTTGAGGAATGGCTCAGGACCCCTTCTCTAAAATGGTAAAATAGTTCAAAGATGTTATGTGAAATATCTTACCAATAAAATTTAATTTAAAACCGATATAAAAATGTCTGTAACAGAGCTCAAAAACACCTTTTGAATATTATAAAATTCACACATTTCACATCATATATATAATTGTTGTTTGCGAACCCCCTATTCAAAAGTGCTGGCTACGGGCCTGCCACCAATGTAGCTACGACTGCCACTATCGATACGAGAACCAATGCTACACGAAGAGACGCTTTCTTTGGTTCAATGTGCTACAATAACAAGGTGAATAAATTAGGATTGTTACATGTATAGTGTTAGATGGATGACAGACTGAAGTGTAAAAGTGAATGAGGTTTGGCCAACAGCTTATATAGTAAACAAACACAGCTTTTATACTCCCGATTTTAAGAAAGTCGTGCAAAAATATGGCGGGACGCTTGAACAATAACGCACGCGCGGGAATTCCTAATTTTCGAGTTGTTAGTTTTCTACGGAATTCCGC